GTTGACAACTCGTCCTAACCTCCACTCAGTGGGGGTTAAGTTGTCTTCCTTGATGACGACCAGATCACCAGGTTTGATATTTTCTTTGGGATGCTTCCACTTAATGCGTTTTTGAAGTTCGGTTAGGTACTCTGTTTTCCATCGCCTACAGAAAGTTTGATTCAGTGCTTTGAGTTTTTGCCACCGATTCACTATGGAGGCAGGAGTTTCATTAACGTCTAATTCTGGTGGGGCTAGAAGATGTCCACCGATGAGAAAATGGCCTGGAGTAAGAGGCTCCAGGTCAGTAGGGTTATTTGAAGAGGGACTCAGTGGCCGTGAATTGAGGCATGCCTCAATACGGCATAAAAGAGTACTAAGCTCTTCAAAGGTGTATTTGTGGGCGGACGCAATTTTTCTAAAGTGGCTTTTGAAGCTCTTTACGCCCGCTTCCCACAGTCCTCCCATGTGAGGCGCTGCAGTGGGTATAAAATGCCACGTCAGCATTTGATGATTGTATTTCGAGATAGTTTTTTCTCGGGTTTCAGACAGAAAAGCTTTAAATTCAGATCGTAAGGATCGTGAGGCTCCGACAAAGTTAGTGCCGTTGTCGGAGTAAATATTTCTCGGACATCCTCTTCTAGCCACGAACCGTGCGAACGCTGCTAGAAAAGATGGGGTACTAAGATCACTAGTAGCTTCTAAGTGAATCGCTTTTGTCGTGAAACAAACAAATAAACAGACATACCCTTTAGAAACTCGACAACCTCTGCCGCGGTAACTTTTAACATCAAAAGGTCCAGTAAAGTCTACCCCCGTATTGGTGAAAGCGCGAGTAAATGTAGTGCGTTCCGGAGGAAGAGTTCCTATAAGTTGAGTTTGTGACCGTTTTTTAAAGATAATGCATGTCTTACAATTATGGATAGTGGACCTGATCAAGTTCTTGACTTTGGGAATCCAGTATTGGGCACGGATGAGGCGTAGCATCAGTTGATTCTCTCCATGCAAGGAGACCTTGTGAATAAACGATACAATAAGGCGGGACAACCTGCTGTTATACGGGATAATGCTCGGGTGGCGTTCATTGTATGCTAAGTCCTGGGATGCTCCAAGGCGACCTCCGGCTCTGATAATGTCATGTTTATCGATGAACGGATTAAGCGGAAGGATTTCACTCTTCGCATCGATTGGTTTTTTAGACTTCAAGTTTGCGTATTCTTCACCATAATAATGCTTCTGGTAGATTTTTATCAGGATTTCTGCCATTGTTTTAATTTCATTAGATGAAATTAAACAAGAATTTTCCTGAAATGAAGCTTTTGTTTTGGAATGAGTTCTTCGATAGAATCTCATAACATATGATAAAACTCTCAAAGCTCTCGGTAGATCGGAAAAACGGTCAAGAATATCGATATCATTTGCTCTTGTTGTCGCATAAGTGTGTGCTCTTTTTTCTTCAACTTCTGTATGATAGTCTGTTCCTTGAGCGGGCCACTTGGAGTTGTCTTCTTGCAGCCAAGAAGGTCCCTGCCACCACAAAGAATTGTTGACCAATTCTGACGCAGGTAGTCCTCTGCTAGCCAAATCGGCTGGATTTTAGGCCGAGTCTACGTGTAGCCAGTCCTTCTCCCCTACTTTTTCTACGATTTTCGTAATTCGGTGGGCGACGAAGGTTGACCAAGAACAAGGCGGCTTTCGTATCCATGCGAGTACGATGGTCGAGTCCGTCCATAGATGTGTCTTCACTGGTCCTAGGTTGAGGTTGTTGATTATAGATTCTATGATTTCTGCGAGCAGTACTGCTCCGCAAAGCTCCAGTCGTGGTAGCGATATAGTTTTGACGAGAGCTACTCTGGTTTTTGCCAAAAGTAGATTGACCAAAATTTTGTCATCTCTTTTGACACGCATATATGCCGTAGCCGCATATGCTTTTTCTGATGCGTCGCAGAAACCATGTATCTCTATGGTGTCTCCAGGTGAGAAGTATAACCATCGAGATATTCTGATATTATCTATTTCGTGGTAATGTCTCATAAAATGCTGCCAACGTTCTAAAATAGTATCAGACACAGTCTCATCCCAGTCTGTGCCTTCTAGCCAAATACTTTGCATGAGTATTTTGGCTACGATGACTATTGGTGCGAGCCATCCCAGTGGATCGAAAAGCTTGGCAATCGCTGACAGCATCGCCCTTTTCGTAATAGTGTCCTGCTCCTCCAATGGTCTGACCATAAAATAAAATAAATCCGTATGGGCATTCCACCTTATGCCCAGAGCCTTAACCGTGCTGGTGTCTTCGAATGCTAAGAAATCTTCGCTAAGAAGGTCCATTTTTGGGATGCCCTTAAGAGTTTCCTGACAATTTGAGGTCCATTTCCGTAGTGGAAAACCAGCTGATCGTAACACTTCTGAGATTTCATCTCTTGCTTTAATGGTAGAGTCGACGCTATGTCCTCCAGCTAACACGTCATCCACATACATGCACTTTCGTAGTATGTTAGATGCTATTCGGAAAGAATTCTCTACATCGTCGGCTAATTGCAGAAGTGTCCTTATCGCGAGGTAAGGTGCGCTATTAATCCCGAAAGTGACAGTCTTTAATTCATATAGACTTACAGGTTCGTTCGGGTTTGTACGATAAACTATTCGCTGGTATTTGGTATGGTTGTTATTCACCCAAATTTGGCGGTACATCTTCTCGATGTCGCTATTAAAAACGTACCGATATAATCTCCAGCGGAGTATTAATATTGGAAGATCTGCTTGGAGTACTGGACCTGGGTAAAGTACGTCATTTAAACTTGTACCATTAGCCGTCTGGCTTGAGGCATTAAAGACGAGCCGAGCTTTTGTAGAGGTGCTTTCCGCCTTTATCACAGCGTGATGGGGTAGAAAGTAATTATCGGAAGAGTCTGCTGAAATGCTACCATTTATCCTGGACATGTGTCCCAGTGATTCATATTCTGTTAGTACCCTATTATACTCCTTTTGCAGGACGGGATCCTTTGTAAGCCGTGTCTCATTCCGGAAGAACTGAGAGCATGCTTTTTTAAGAGAGGGGCCTAGGCAAATGTTTGCTGGAAATTCCTGCCTAAATGGTAGCGAGACTACATATTTTTCATCTGGGTTTCTCTCAGTCGTTTTCCGATAAAGCTCTTCACAATACTTGTCGTCTTCGTTTAAATTTTTGTTTTTCGGTATATCTTCTAGTTCCCAGAAAGCTGTTAGTTGTTGATCCAAGGCAACTTCGCTATGATAAGAAACTATGTTGTTTGTTGGATTTGGTGCTTCTGTGCGACCGGTTAAAATCCAACCGAACACGGTTTCTTGGGCAAGAAGTGTACTGAGAACATTTTTCTTCAAGCCGCACAAAATAATTTGGGGATAAATGTCTCCGCCAAGTACTAGGTCTACTTCTTCGTTAACGTAGAACCTTTTATCTGCTAAAATCAGATCTGGAAATGCCTGCATAGTCATAGCGCTGATATGGCAGGATGGAAGATTTCCAGTTAATTTTGTCAGCACGAGCACTGTTGCATGTAGACTAAACAGTGGGTCAACAGGGGACCGTAGTTCTATGTTGCATGCCTCCTTGACCTGAGCAGAAGTTGAATTCGTTATGCCTGAAACTTTGGCATACATCTTCTTAGATGGCAGGTTGATTCTGCGTTTGAGTCGTTCTGTTATAAAGGAACACTCCGAACCAGAATCAATGAGTGCTCGTGCTGAAAAATCTGTACCATTGAGACGTATATTTACACGAGCCGTTCCTAAAAGTACACCTGAGTTCATATTTGCATAATTAGTCTTAACGTTTTTGCTTTTACCGGAGTTAGTTTTATTGAAGTTACGCCTTGCTGCAGCTTGTTGCGAGGTTGAGGCAACATCTTTGGCAGATCTCGGTGGCGTTTGAGGCGGTGTTGCCTTTGGCGGAATTGTCTGGGTGTGCAGGAGCGTATGATGTCGCGAGTGACACGTGCCGCAATTGAAAGGGCTTGTGCATCTTGACACAGTATGTCCAGAACTCAGACAATTCAGGCAAGCATTGTTGCTCTTTAAAAACTCTATCCTTTCAGTTGGCGTTAGCTTTAGGAAATGGGAACAGCGGCGGAATTTGTGCTCATTTGTTTGGCACATTTTACATGTGTACTTGGTTACGCTTGTTTGGAACGCGCCAAGTCTTTTTGTGGGGGCTTCTGAGGGATGTCTGGTGTTTTGCGGCTTTGACGCTTTTACAGACTTTGTGCCCTTTATGCCTGACATGGTTTCCAAGGTTTGAAACCTATTCGATAGGAACTTGTCCATGTCTTCCCACTTTGGTAAATCTTTCTTGTGATCTATGGTTTGTTCCCATAGAGCCAGCGTACAGTCGGGAAGTTTAGTTGAGCATAGATATACAATAATTGCATCCCAATTCGAGATGTCAATATTATGGCTCTTGAGCGCTGATAAACAATTATTTATATCCCGCTGCAACTTCTTCAGTGAGCTACCACACTCATTATCTATGGAAATTAGGTTGAAAAGAATTTTTAGTTGCGTATTTATGAGGATACGCTTATTTTCATATCTCTCACACAGGTTATTCCAGGCCGCTTGAAAACCTTCATTGGTGAGTGGACATTTTCTTACTATGTCTTTGGCTTCCCCTTGAGTCTTCTGATTCAGGTGAAATAGTTTCTCAACAGGGGTGAGCCGCTTGTTTAGGATGTATATGGCTGTGAACATGTCACGGAACGATGGCCATGACAGATAGTCGCCCTTGAACACATCTGTGTCACACGGAGGAAGGTGAATATTGTGTTCACGAACCGACTGATCTTGTACATCCTTCTCTGCATTTACAAGCGTCTCAGACTGACTAGCCATTACCGACATGCATTTGACATAGCTGGAAAACGAGCCCTTATGTTTCCGTTTAATTGCTTTAATGTCATCTTTAGAAATTCCTTCTTTATTTATGATCGCGTCATAAGCTACTTTGGTCTTTTCCCACAAAGCCTTTAGTTCGTCTTGCTGTATTGCAAGGCCGTGTTTGTTTTGCTCTGTGGCTGGTGTGCTATTGTAATCTGGTTCAAATTCGATTACAGATTCTGCCAAACGAATAAAGGTTTCCATTGCGGTAATTGATCTTCAGATTACTCTTTACGAATTAAAATTTGTTGTAGTTTTCGAAAGAAGTATGTTCACTATAAATAGGAATAGACCGTGTATATTCCAAACTGTCGTATATGTATAAATGCACAGCGAAACTTTTGCCAAATTGTCGAAAAGAGTATAAGAGTACCAACGTAGATTGTTTAAACTCTACGAGCCAAAACCCAGAAGCAGTCAAGAAAACACTACGATTTAAAACTGATATCTCTTTCAGAAAATTGATGATTTTTTTATTTTTTCAGAAAAGTGATAAGCATATGTATGTATATATATGTTTATGTGCTACTCGCCACCCAACACTGCCGACGAAGGTATATATATATATGTATAAGCATATATGTATGCACAAATTCGTGTGTACACCCAACGCAACGTCGTCAAAACTAATCCAAATGGACTTAATTTCAATTTTTACCAGCAAATATTTCGCAAATGGACTGAATTTAGCGTGGTGAAGTGATTTTTGTGAAAAAAAATGTGAAGGAAATTAAAAATTTGAGGTTATGTGACCTCAAACACAGTGAATAAGTGTAATGCAAATTTAAGAAATGTGCTGCACGAATTAAATTGCTTAAGCACAACGAAATTGAAAGTGAAATTTATCGGCGCTTTGTTAACTCGAGTAGCAAATCGAATGTGGCAAGTGGCAAAATACCAAAAAATTGTTGCAATATGTAGTGAGTCGGAAAGCAATGTGTGCTGCACTTTGATATTTAAGTTACATATATGCCACTGTTCACTGTGATATGTGTAGGTTGCACGGTGCACCAATTACGAACTGTTAATGTCGATGGACACTCTTCACTGCGGTTATTTGCACAAGTTCAACTTTTTTTTTTTTTTGTTTTTTCTCACAAATCACTTCAACTCGCTTGGATTCACTTTGAGGTTATATCTGGTAATTTTTTTTGTGCACTTGAATTTGTAACCACGTACCTTAGTTTCCTAGTAGCTGGTGAAACTGCTTGTTGGACGATGATGTTATCAGTGTTTTTCTGGTTCGTGGCACGAATTAGTGTGGCTGTGGCTGTAGCAGGATCGCTGTTATGTGCAGCTTGATGTGACCAAATTCCTTTTTCGTAGAAGTGGCCCAATTACTTTTTGGGTTCGCTTTTTCTTCTAATGTGGACTGTACGTTGGTTTCACGGCTCCTAAGGACCAATAAAAACGTCAATGTGACGCAGTGCGGCTCAAGTCAATGGTTTTACCTGAAAATAATGTGGCCTGGTAGCTGCAGTTCTTTCTCCTTGGTCTCCCGATGTGAAAGTGAAAAAA